CTTTACACAAAGGGAAAAGTTCAAACTAATATTGATGAACCCCCAAATTCCTAAATTATATTCACTCATAAAACTTCACAAACAGAGTTATCCTATTAGACCAGTGGTTTTCTTTGTCACTGCACCGTAAGTGAAATTATCAGAAAGGCTAATCAATATCATCTAGAACCATTGTAACTTCCAACAACAATTCAGTCCACGGAATGCATATGACTTGATCAATAAAATAGAGAACATACCTCTGCCAGACAATGTAAATTTACAATCTTTTGATGTGCAGAATTCATTTCCCAGCATACCTCCTGATGATACTATTACTTTAGTAAATAAGATAAAAATAGAGTGAACCCAATCATAAAACTAGAAATCATTGACCTTCTGTCGATATGCCCCAAACAAAATTATTTTCAATTTTTCAACAATATTTATTCCTCCTCAAATTGTTCAATTATACGACTGAGAATTTCTTGTATTGGTATAGATATGTGCATGACGTTTTGGTATGTTTTATAGGTACTAAGAGACAATTGGATACTCTTCATACGGATATTAATAAAATTCATTAAAACATTGAATCCACTATTGAAATAGAAGACAACTCAACAATTTCTGGGACTTAACAATTAGTAGAATGAACAACAAACATGATTTTTCAATTTATCACAAACTGTACTATATGGATATTACTATACAATACGATTCTACCCATCCTTATCAACACAAAGTAGCAGCTTATAATAGCATGATTTACAGATTTCTCAATGTTCGTCTTTCAATAGATAATTTCAATGAAGAACTTAATATCATCAAGCAAATTGCTGTTAATTGTCGAATCAATAAACAAAATACTTGACAAGAAAGTCTACGCAATTCTATTCGATTTGAGACGTCTTTCCTATTGATAAGGTAGATAATCAAAATTATAGAGCTTTAACGTATTTTGGACAACCAACGGAAAAAGTGGAACGAGATATTTGAATTGCATATAGAACAAGTAATACGTCGAAAAAGTTAATTAAAAATAATAAAGGTAAAAGGTAAAATTTGAGAAATCAGGACTATATAAATTAAAGTGTGAAACGTCTCCTGAGGTATATTTTGGTCAAACTGGCAGAACATTCAGAAATCGAATCCAGGAACATCATACGAGCTATGTAAATATGAAAACAAATTCAACATATTCAAAATATTCAAATCATCTTCTAGAAAAAAAATATCATATCTTTACCGAAGGGTTCGAAATTTTGCACATAGAAAATAAATGTTCAAAACTGAATCATTTGGAAGCAATGAAAATTAATAAACTTGAAAATTCAAACATTCTAATGAATGACCAACTGTATTTGAATAGATCACCACTATTGAACCTGTTTTCTTAAAAAACGAGAAAGAATTATTATTGGTGTAGATGTGAGGTAATATGCGTCAGGTGATCATAACTGAACAGGTACCTTAGGTAGAGGTTCAGGTAATTTTTTGGAGGTAGTGTCAATTATGATTACCTGTAGTTTGTAAATATTAGTGTTAGAAACAAGTTGAAAGATTCGAATCACTTGATAAAGGTACTGTGCTAGCGGAATATGTGATATATTTTTCAAATGAAGTTAGTGGAGATCAATTCGTGAGGTGTAGTTTTTGAAATTACTATGGATCTTCATCAGGTAACGGTCGAATGAATCAGATAATCAAGAAAAGTTGAAGAAAATATAAATCTCGAAGAAATGTCAGGGTCAATGACATGGAATCCAATCAGAACGAAATGCAATCGGTCTTCAGCCTACTTGTCAGAAATGATGTGTGTTGAAATTTTAAAGGCATAAGCGAAGTCTATCAGTCCAGATATATAATAATATTAATCTCAGTGAACTGAGGGATCCACTTTATCTGTATGGAATTTTGAATGCAAAACAAGCATGTTTTCCAAATACCGGAAATTCAATACTTTTCTCAACGCGCAGTTCACAACAGTTTTGGCATCTTCAGGAGATTGAGTTTTCTTCATTTCCTGAATACGCCATCTTGTTTGGTGAACTGCGATTTGAGGATGACATAACATTTCTGATATTTGAAAAAAGTGAGTAATTTGAATGGAAATTTCTCAATATCATTTCGGACAAAATCCTCAATATTATTTTTTTCAGTAATAAACACTATACTCAAACGGCCACTTCATAATTTTGATGCCATCTTTATGTAATCCATCACTGAGATTTTGGAAACTATGAGAGGTACGAAAATCGTTTAATTGGGGCAATGCTGTGCATCTACCTGACTAACAATATGCCGTTGAGAATGTTCTGAAATTCCGAGTATATCCGGAAAAAACAGAAATTTCGGAAAATATTTTTGTCTGACTTTATTTTTCGAAGGATTCGTAAATAAATTGCACTTCCACATTGCCACTTTTTCTCTGCTACATAATGGTGTTCTCAGACTTGCTATCCGACGTTTTGTGTTCCGGCCACCATCATCAACTTTATTTTTTCTAATGGGTGCTACATTGGATTATTTCTTTTTGAATAGAATCAGATTCTACTTTTTCAATGATGTATCATAAGTTATCATTTTTCATTCGAAACATTGGAAATATCGAAAAAAATTAATTCTCATCATGATAGGCTTTGACTTTGATGTTTTTAAATTTGACTTTCAATTTGTTACACTTAATGACATTTTGTTATTGTACAAGTTATTGAATTTTTTATGAAAATGGCTTTCACGAATGAAGAAAAAATAGATATGATACAAATTTATTACAAATACCATAGAAACAGTGTTAGGACATCGTAAATGTATTTTAACATGTATCCTGAAAGACGACAACCACATCGAACTACGTTCAAGTTATTAAATCAAAATCTCACCGAGTTTGGTTCATTTGAAAAGACGAGGAAATAATACGAAGACAGAATGGACCAGGAAACTAAAGAGAATTTGATAAATGAGGTATGTATGGGGTAAGTGAGACTTTGTGTCCTCTCAATAGAAATTAATGATTTTTAGATGAATATGGAACACAGAAAATCTACAAGTCAAATTTCCTCCGAAATGAATATTTGTCATACAAGTACTTGGGAACATCTGAAAAACAGCGGTTTAAAATGTTAGAAAACACACATATCTCAATAATTGTATCCAAATGATAACGAAACGCGATTAGAATTTGATATTTGACCAATAAGAAGACCTGGTTTTCCTGTTTTTCTGGAAAATGTAAATTGAACAGATGCAAGCACTTTTACGAATTTTGGAATATTCAACCGAATTAACAAACACATTTGGAGCATAAACAACCCCTCGCAGTTCCGAGAAATTAGACCTCCAGTGTGATTTAGTATCAACGTGTGGGTAGGAATTTACAAAGATGGAATTTTGGGTCCTCATTTATTTGACGAAATTCTGAATAGAGAAACCTATCACCAGTTTATAATTTTGATTTTCGAAGACTATTTGGATGATCTACCTTTGGCTAACTATAATAACATCTAATTTAATCATGATGGTGCTCCACCGCACGGTACCAGACGATTATCTAATTACCAGACTGAAAAGTTTGGTGATAAATGGATAGGGAATAAGGGGCCGGTGAGGTGGCTAGCAAGGTCTCCAGACTTAAGTGTTATAGATACATTCTTATGGGGCACACTGGAAAATAGAGTTCAGGGTCAGAGGGAATATCAAAATTTCGAGGACTTTCAACACAGCATTGTTAGAGAGTTCGGAAAATTGGGGAGGAGGGAAATTAATCGTGCAGTGAATAATATTCGAAGGAGGGCACCATTGTGTTATCATGAACAAGGCCTGCATTTTGAGCATTTGCTGTGATTTTCTTTTGTCTTTACATTTTAGTTAATTATTGTTATTTGTTTAAAGTTCTATTTTCGTTGAAAAAGACACAATGTGTAAATTACCTCATGCACACCTCATTTGTCAAATTTTGATTGTTCATTCTGTCTCCGTATTTTTTCACTGGTTTTTCAAACGAACCAAACTCGGTGAGATTTTGATCCAATAACTTCAACGTTGTCGTCTTTCGGGATACAAGTTTATATACATTTCCGATGTCTTACCACTGTTTCTTTGGTAGTTGTAATAAATTTTCATAATATCTCTGTTTTTCGACAAAAATTCAATTACTTGTACATTAACAAAGTTTCATTGAGTGCAACAAATTGAAAATCAAATTCAGAAACGTCAAAGTCGAAGCCTATTATGATAAGAATCAATTTTTTTCAATATCTTCAATTTACCGAGAAAGAATGATAAAATCTGGTTCTATTCAAAAGAGAAAGAATCCAATGTAGGACCTTTGAAAAAATAAAGTTGATGATGGTAGCCAGAAGACGAAACGTCGGATAGCAAATCTGAAAACACCAATATATAGCAGGGAAATGGCAGTGGCAATTTATTTCCAAATCCTTCGAAAAACAAAGCCCCAAAAAATAAAAACCATTTTCCAAAATGTATGTGTTTTCCGAATATCTCCGGATATACTCGGAGTTTCAGAACTTTCTCAACGGCATATTGTCACTCAGGTGGATGCGCAACTTTGCCCCAATTTAACCATATTTGCATCTCTCATAGATTCCGAGATCCTAATGGTGAGGATCGAATTTGGAACACCCTGTATTAAGTAAGCTACCTGTTTATTATTAGGCTAGCCATTTATAATCAATACCTCCTTCTGTTCACCTAATTTCAAACTACTATAAATATGTCTGTACATTCAGTGAATACCATGTTTTTGAGAAAATCATAGGAATAGCGAATCGCGTCACATATTACAAGTAGTAATGTATTTTGGATATTCTGAAAACAAGATTTTTTCAGTTGATTCCTATTCATTCATTGATTCTTATTCATTTCGATCTGAATGTCACCATCACGAACCACTAAACCGAATTGAATCATTTGTCACTTTATTATCATACGTTCACATAATATGGCGCGTTATCAGTTGATAACCTGCTGCTAAACAATTTTTGCAGTATATCTCACTCATTAAACAGACACCCAATTACCGTTATCGGTAGTGATAAAAATAATCCTCCAGGTGAAATTAAATCTATCGTCAGTATATTTCGTTGACAAAAAAACATTGAACATAAACTGGTGTGTGCAATTATTACGGTTTCAAGTGCCTTAGGGGGTACTATACTATGAATAATATGAAAAATTGAAGAAAATAATTTTTGCGATTTTGACTGAAGGAAATTTTGTCAAGTGTTAGTCTTTTCTCTCTACGAAAAAAAGCATTTGTGTTTCCTAACAGAGGGATCATTGAAAGAATAAGGATATATCGCTTATGAGAAAGGTTGGTATTCAACACGCTTTTATTTAATTTTCAATATTGATATGATTCTTGATAAGTGGAATTAGGAACCTCTGGCGTAAAATGAATCTATTGAAAACACTTTCAACTCACCAGAAAAAATGCTCTATCGACGCGCGTTTCGCTAACCAGGTAAGCATCATCAGGAGATGAGTAAAACTGTAATGTTCTCAATCCTGAGCTAAAATAGTGTGACACGTTTAGTTTGTGTGCCGATGCATGGTTAGCTAAGTGACGCCATTTCATACCCAATATGGTGGACAATCCGAAATGGCGAAAAAAATGTTCAATGATTTATATTTTAAATGAAGCGAAAAATGACAAGATGTCACTTGATCCGTCAGATCGCGGACCATTTTTAATGTACTCTCATTGTGTAGGTATCAACTAATAGGATAACTAATAGAATATCAATTATCAAGATGATCACAAAATTCAAACACTTTTGCTTCACTATTAACTTTTTGGGAATTCTGTGGAAACCCACTATCGTGTAAGATACATACATTTTTACGATGATGTTTGAAGATGGATGAGGCTTCATCTGATTCGCGGACTGCAAGCTCATGTTCAAGAGCTTCGTTGGAAACTCTTCTGTTGGTCTATATTTCCTGGAGCAGGTGGACCATGGTATTTCGTATATGCCCTCTGCCTCATTGTAGATCGTGTCTCCAGATGTTCGTAGAAAAGTGGGAATTTGTTTTTTGTCTGTGAATACTGTTGTTACATTGTGCCTCTCTAGAATTGCGCTCACTTTGTGGTTAACTTCATTAATGTAAGAGGAAATAACTTTTGGGTACTTTGTCTGTTCATTGGGATATTTCGAACGTGGAATACGGGTTTGTTGAAGTTTGATGGATCTTTGGATTTGCGATTCGAGATAGACTCAGGCACCCGTGCAACGTCTTCCATTCGGAAGATTCGTCGCAAGTAAGTAACCACCGATAGACCAATTTCGAAGTACTTGCCTCTTCTCAGTATCGAGAAGGTAATTTCAGATGGAGAGAACTTTATGAGTATCCCGAACAAACAAAATTAATTCCAACTAGGCATGAGCTCTATCTGCACTTGATTCAGAAGGATGGTCACTGCGCCACCTGCAAAGTCAGGAAACAACTCCACAAATACATACTCCGGGGTGGGGTGAGAATGATAATGAGATTCCGAAGAGGTGTATAACATGCCCAAGCTCATTTCGAAACAAAGTTTGGAATGTTATCATCACCCAATATTCAAGGTTCTGGTTGTCAATAAGTCAATAACTTAAGTTTCTTCTTGAGAAGTTCTGAGTATTCTTCTATGAGAAATGAAGAAACCTCATTTTCCTCCACGATAATAGTCATTTTTTGACGGAAAATTTTTCAGAAAACTTGTTATTTTTTAAAATTCCAGTATTTCAAACTATGTTTCGGTTGTCGATAACATAAGTAAGAATGGGATCTTTATTACCATTCAAAGATATGATTCCATATGTTTTAATACTTCAACTTCTGAAGTCAACTGTAGGGAGGAATGCAAATCATTATCCCAGTTGATTTGATTTTGTTATCGCTATTGTTGTTATTGAACAATACGCTTATGTTGTTGGTGAAATTGTGGCCTTGATGGAAATAATCAACTGTTAATTATTACCAGAATTAAAAATGGGGTCCAGTATTTTCAGCGATTCGATAAAATTTAATAGTCCATAGAACACTACAGGTAAACTCAATATAGCTCGTTGGGTGAAAAATGAAATTATCATATCGGTGTTCTGAAAGATGAATGATCATACTCGTAGGTACTCCAATCAGTCGTGAATATTATAGTAGTCTATAACATGTTTCATTGCACAAAGATCTTTCTCCATTTTTTCAACAATTAGGTGTTTCAATTCGTTATGAAAAAAATTTATTGGATCTCAAGTGTTCTCATTTTTTTAATTCTTTGAAACATCATAATCTCATCGTATTTCTCAAACTATTCATTTTATAGATAAATTTTTTTTCATTATTTCAATAGGTTCAATTTTCTTCATTTATATCTCAAAGCATCCAGTAGCTTACGAATGTGTAGGTCGAAGCACTGATTTATATCAATAAAATAATGTTCATAGTACAAACTAAATAAAAAATGTGACATTGGTGTAATTCAATGTTCATATGGAACAAGTTTCATCCAATACTCAAGTGCTTTCTTCCAGATTGTAACTAAAATAATCTTCTGTGTATGCACTACAAATTTTTTAACAAAACTAATATATCCTGAAAATATTCCCTTCTCAATTAAAATAAATGTCTATGACTGGGAGTGACTAATCGTATGTTTGCACGTACTGTCTTCGTGATGAGAGCAGGTTTGTCTCTTTCGGTAACATAAAGTCGTAATGTTATGATGAGTGCTACTTCCTGTAATGTTATCTGAAACGATATCGTTGAGGTGATGATTGGACTGTTTCATTAAGAAATTTCTTTGAATATCATTGAGAAAAATAGTATTCATATAAATGATATTTTATGAGACACCAAAGGTGCACATGCCATCCAGATTTTCAGAAGCATCACAGCTTCTGCTAATGAACTGGGGAAATTTTTGCAGTACCCCAATTATGGTAAATGGAACATCTATTTTGTGCATTTAGAAACTTGTGTTTCTAACAACTCAACCATGCCACACAATCCGCTACGGCTCTGAGGAATGGTTGATTCTCTACAGGCTCCTACGACTTTAAAGATTGTTTCTCTACAGCCCCGTACGACTGTGAGGAATATATCTGATAGACCAGAGCTTNATTCCAAAGAAAATTCATTTGTTGTCAATTGCCTGATATTTATTTTGCCCTGCTCCGACATTATAACTGGACTTGGTGATCGATCTAATTTAGCAAACTCTCCAAAAGTAATTGAAGCTGTGGAAGGTGTAACGCAACAAATGCTATCCATGCAATGAAAACTATCTAATCCATCTAAAGTTGATGGATTATGATCCGCATTATCAAACACATAGTGGATTATATTTGACTTGATTGCAGAAATTTCATGTGAAGCAACGCGTTGATAGGAGGCACAAACACCTAACAGTTTCAAAACCGCATTTTTTATTCAAATATATCACTATTTCTCAATAAAATGGTGATACGAAAGCTTTTGGATGTATGGCTTGAACTATCGATAATCCTATTTGATTTAGATTGATTTTTGAATTTTCTAATATGTTTTCTTCAATATTTCGCCAGTGGTTCAAGTTGTGTCTGTAGAAAAACCATCATCTAGGACATTGTCGTCAATGCTAACACTATCATGTGAACTCTTGTATGTTCTTCTAGCATTAGCTACTTTTTTGTTTTGTTTCAGATTAGCACCAAAGATGAGTACGTCATCTGAATCGATTTTCAGATACTTAGGTATAGTATCGGTGATACAATCCAAAAAGCTACAGCTGATGGATAGCTTTCATTATTGAATGGAGTACATTTGATTTGTTTTAAAACTAATTCCGCAGCAGCTTTGATAATCCAAATATGTTCGGATTCTATTCCAGCTTCACGATGCATGTACCACTCTTCCGACAACGAACGTCTCTTGATCTTTATCACCAAAGCAAATAGTTGTATCTTCGTCTGATTGGTTGTAAAACACGATATTATTGCCGTACTTCCTCTTCATAACAGATTTGTTTCCGTTGTCTTCTGGTCGATAACATCGAATAATTGACTGGCGGTAAATTGGCGATCACAACCGTTATCAATGAATTTTTAAACTGGATTCATTGAGTCTCGTACTTCTTTCTGTAGTTTAGTAGCTTCCATTTTACTCTCAAGCATAAAATTCACGTAACAGATCTCGTGATAACACGAACAAACCGTGACTAATATACGTTTGATAATTTTTGCACCTGCAGGATCATTCCTGCGCTCAGGAACTTCGATTTGCCACAGAAGAGACATAGTTGTGTAAAACTAAAACTCGTAGAACTACGTGACGAAGAACGAGATGTTCAAAGTTCAGGCACAGTAAGAACACGTTTGGCAAAATAATAATAATCCTCTCGATACTTTCGATGATTTTCGAATTCAGTTTGATTCTCTATGAGTTTGTGTTTATTATCACCTAATGTTCGACTCCGAGCAATGTATGAATTTATAGCTTTTTCATTCAGAGTAATTATTGGCAAAGTTTCTAGTGGATTTCCACAAATGGAGCAACTCACAAAGATATCCATTTTTGCTGATAAATAAGTTAGCACCGACAAAATTCCACACAAACGAAACAGACGAACGAAACGAACTCCGTAAGTGTCAACTGAATACTAGAGCCAGTTGACATACTTTGTAGCTATATGAATGATTTATAGGTCAGGTAAAAAGTATTTTTTTATTTTTACAATTTGTTCATAACTTTTATAATTTTTTTTGCTGCATCAGATTGGCTCTAATTCCAGGGCTCTATGAAAATTATAAATAATATAGATACAGCTCTGGGAATCGAACTTTTTTTCAGCAATATTGATGATCGTTTTGGATCTTTCATTAAAATTCGAAAATTTTTAAAGTTTTTCGAGATATTCAAAAAAACAAGTCTCAATTTTTTTATTTTTACAATTTGTTCATAACTTTTGTAATTTTTTCAGCCTTTTCGAACTTTCCCTTGAACTTTCTACGTGACAATACGTATTGAATGACATCTTGATCGTGATATTCGGAGAATGTAAAATTTTTAGAAGAATGGTACATGTGAACTAGACTAATTGAAGTGAGTTGTGACTCGGACAGGTGAACATATATACTTATTAGCAGATTATAGTTTGCAGTTAATAATTTTAATATACAAAAAAATTATATATGTTACCAAATGGAGCAGAGCAGATATCCAATACATTTGAAATACTGAAATCTTCGAAAACAACAAGGATTTCAAAAAACGTTTTTCTGAAAAATGTTAATTATCGAGATATCAAAATTAAGATTTCTTCATTCCTTATGTGGAAACCCTCAGAACTTTTCA